CCTTCCTTCCTTCCGTTCCTTCCTTTCCTTCCTTCCTTCCTTTCCTTTTCCTTTCCTTCTTCCTACTACGTCCGTACCGAACGACGTACGTACCCTACCTACGTCTCGTACGTCTACGTACTACTTCTTCTCTCTCTCTCTCTCTCTCTCTCTCTCTCTCTCTCTCTCTCTCTTTCTTGCATTTTCTCTCTGCATGTCCACCTACTTTATGTAGTGCTCCCTCATGTCCACTCTCCCCTTCACTCATACTGTGCACCCTCACGCCCACTTGCCATGTCCGCACTAAGTTTTAGCCCTTGGAGATGGCCATATGACCCGTCCACATAGGTGAACGGGATACTTGACCTACCCAATGGCAAATGGGCCTCCTGAGTTAAAACAGGCAGGCCTGGCGGTGAGTTCAATGAATCACATGGTTCAAAGCAGGGTTTAAAAAAACACCGAGTTGAGCCGGACTCACCGGGTTCAACTCGCGAATCACCACAGAACGAGCCGGTTCTACACATAAAATGGGAACCGCCCGTGTTTAGAGAGAACCGGGCGGTTTTAAACAGTAAACCATCGATGACATCATCAACCAGAGGCTCTGACGTCACCACTCCAACATGAACACGTGTGACAAAATCACGTGCCACACACTACGTGTGAAGTTGCCCCAATGTTTCCACGCGTATACCTTATTTCATAGTACATAGGTATTTATATAGCAATGTTGCATGCCCATCATTCGATATGAGATAATTTCCAAACATCATAAAATGAAAAAAAGAATGTAAATATATTCTATTAATCAGCAATTAATAATCACATCCGGCGAGACGGCGTGATGATTATGACCTCTGATTTTGGCTTTGATGTCCCAATGTTGAATCACCTTGGGCGTTGTATATATGTTGTATAGTAGTTTTTGTTGTATATAGTGGTATAAATATTTTTGTAAATAATATAAAAGGCATAAAAAAATGAAAAATAAAATTTAATTTTTTGTATAGCAGTTAATTTTTGTTGTATATAGTGGTATAATTATTTTTGTAAACAATATGAAAGGCATAAAAAAATAAAAAATAAAAAGTTTATTCTATTTGAAATCTCCCTCTTTCTACTAACAATCTCTTTCACTAAATTTATTATAGAAACCTAAAAAATTAAATTTTTGAAAAATTGAAGTGTTATTTTCATAATTTGTACGCATTTTATTAATTTTTACATTGATAATCAAATCTTTTATTTTATTTATTAATTTTAACATTATAAATCATGTAATGTACTATTTTTCTTACAGTTGTCAATAATACATTTTAAATTAGATAATATTATAAAATATTTTTAATTTGTTATTATTTGTCTAATAAAATAATTATAAAATGTAAACTAATAATTATAATTTCAATATATAATATTATAATTAGTTAAGTTGTAATAATTTTGGATTATAGTTAGTTTGACTGTAATAATTTTGAATTATAGTTTAGCGCATTAGGGTTTTTCGCCAAAACGAGATTTTAATAGCCATTCTTTCAATGATTTAGTCTACTTTTTATTATAGTCCATGTATAATTATATATTTTATCTATGATAATTCTATGATTTTTCTTTTATGTGATGCAAATTTAATACTTAAGTTTATACAGGGAAAGAGCATCTCAATATTCACAAATTGATGAAAAAAATGAAAGTTAATAATGTAGTACTCTCATTTCTTATTGGATTCCTAAAAAACAACATTTATAATGAATTTTAATAATTTTTTCGGATTTTTTTGAAGCATTAATCCGAACGATTCAGCTGATTCCCGATCCGGATTGGCTTTTTAAACAATTGGTTCAAAGATATCTATGCCAAATGACTCATATGCCCATGCTTCTAAGTATTATACCCATTATACCCCTAGAATTTGAAATCGAGAAAAATGGGGTTATAGAATGATTTGGGGGCATTATGCACAAAAATAGCCCCATATTTCTCACAAAGGACACAATCTTCTTCATAAATAACAATGTAATTGGAGTTGAACTTTTTTATTTTCACTTATTGAGTATTATAATGGCTGGATGTAAAGAGAAAAGGGGTAACTTGGTTATATACGAAAAAGATAGGGGTTTTGGACCAAATCTTTCCCATAAAAGACAAATCTTCCGGTGTCAACTTTATTCTTGTCTGATTCTCTTTGCCCTATGGTTGGCTAAGCTCTCCATATATATTCATGCTTGGTGAATGAAACTTTGGGTCATAAAAGATGGCAATTTGTGAGAAGGGAGAAGAAGAAGTTAAGATGGATACATTGCCTCTCTTAACACCTTACAAAATGGGCAATTTTTTCCTCTCTCATAGGTATATATGCATGCTTTAACATCAACCCCTCTCTCACGGACACAGTAAATAAGCAGGTTCCCTATCTCTCTCCCTCTGTGCAACCCAGGGAGGTTTTGATCAGACCTAGAGCATCTGTTGTTGACATCGGATGGTTGAGGAAGTTATCTATGTACAACCTCCCGTTATTTTTCCCTTGTAATTTTCTGAAACAATTTGCGATTGTCTAGTATTCTTTAGAGCAATAGTCCCTAAATTGCTTTTTTACTAATTACTAAGAACTGTTATTTTTAGATAAAATATCTCCATATCCCCTATGTTTATGTTTCATTTCTTGATAAATCCAAACTTTCAAAAAATATCTTTTAACCCTTGACCACTTTAAACCTGTTTTTTAACTTAAACAAATGTGAGAAAAACATGTTATTTCTAAACCCAATTATTTTTCTTCCTTCATTTATATACCCCAAACTTCTCTCTTTCTCTCTCTCCTTCTCTCTCCTCCAAGTGACCTCTCGCATCCATGAAGCCCTTTTCTCTCTAGAAGTTTGGGAAGATAGCTTTTATAAAAGACACATCTTTTTAGATTTGTTTGGACTATAAAACCAAGTTTAAATTAACTCAAGGGTTAGAAGAAATAAAATCTACAATTTTAATACCCCAAGATATCATTTAAAACCTTGGGTCTATTGTGAAATAAAACTTAAAAATAGAGGGTATGGAGATATTTTCCCTTTTTTTCAAGCGTGATTTTTTCTTCATGAAATCCTTTCTATGTGCCACCATACATCTATGCTTCTCGTTTTTCAAGACAACCACCATCTGATTTTAATTAGATGGTTGGAATTAAGCTAACAATGTCACAGATTGTGCTCATGAGTTTCATCACCATCCGATCAATGAGTTGGATGGAGATCGAGACTAGTGAGTGGAATCCACCATCCTAGTCATGTCCTATTTTTAGGTTCCACACGGTCTTTATCGCCATTCCAAACCATTGATTAGGTAGTGGTGATCGTCACAAACACATGATTAGAGGTCCCTTTTGGTTATAAAAATTGCAGTATGTCCTTCAAGTTTACTAATGTCTTAGTAAAATGTGCGTGTGTTAGGGAGTGAGAGAGAGAGATGTACATTTGTAAGTTTCATGCTAGAGGTGTGAATTTAAAACTTGCTTTTCCTTTCCTCTTAACAACTTTTCTTTGCAGAGTGGTATTGGCACCAGTAACCAGAGAGAGATCCTATGGCAATGTCCCACAGCCTCATGCAATCTTATATTATTCCCAAAGAACCTCTAAAGGAGGATTCCTCATCACTGAAGCCACTGGAGTCTCCGACACAGCTCAAGGGTATACAAAGGATTTAGTCAATTTTATTTTAAATTTTTTTATGTTAATGAATTAGGATCTTGGTATACATAAATTTTAGACAGATTTTATTGTTATTTTTATTTCAATTAAATAGGATTTCTTTCTAGTAGTGTTCATCAAATTCTTGATATTTTTTCAATCTTATAGTGTGGGTTTTTCTACTAAGGTACGCACATACACCTGGTATTTGGACAGAGGAGCAGGTTGAGGCTTGGAAACCCATTGTGGATGCTGTTCATGACAAGGGTGGTGTCTTCTTTTGCCAAATTTGGCATGTAGGGAGAGTTTCTCATTACGGTAGTCTCAATCTTTGTCATTTTCATTTAAGCAAGGGGACGATTGATCTTCATCATCCATTACCGAGTACAGGTGGTGGAGATGAAAGGATGTTAACCGGACCATACAGTGTGTATTTTTTGAGTGAAACCATACAGTGCGTATGGTAATCATTTCTTGCAAGGTGGGCACCTTGATACAGCATCTAATGGCATGATCATAATTGTCCTACTGATGTATCATATAAAGAAGGCTGGGTCAGTTTGTGTTTTATTTGTTGGAAAATTGTTTCACGCGGGCTGGACCGCGTGACTACATATGCGGTCCAGAAAGTGTAAATCGTCCATCTTAAAGATGGATGCAAGTAGGTGTTCCATCTATAACGGTCCAAATATTTTTTTATTATTTTTAATATTCATGATCTCCATGTTAGAGATTAGATGTCCTTAAAAATTAAGTCTTAAAATACATCTCAAAAATAGATTTATTAAGAGGCCTGCATTTCTATATATGCAGGCTTGGCTGCCTAAAAACCGGGTCCTTTTTTTTTTTTTTTTGAGACAATTACTCCTCTAACATGCATGAATATGTTCAATCGACATCCATGGGTCCCCCACCCATTGCAAGATTTGGAACCTAAAACATGCACATAAAACCCTCTTAAATTTACGTTGAAATCTCGTCTTTGTTAAGTCCTTAAATTTTTCTCTTCAGATTATCAGCCTAATGGGCAAGCTCCAATCTCTTCTAGCAACAAGGCATTAACCCCACAGCTAAAATCAAACGAATTGGATGTGGCTGAGTTCTCGCCTCCCCGACCATTGGCCACTGACGAAATCCCTATCATTGTAAATGATTTCAGGCTTGCAGCAAGAAACGCCATAGAGGCAGGTAAACTTTTGAAAACTTAGTAGTAAGTTAATTTGGCCATTGTTAATCAACAGGAAATTTGATCTATGATCATTAAGGAATTTTAGTATTTTTATGATAGGAGGAGAATTTGCTCTTATCTAATTAAACGATACCTCAGTTATATACAACATCACCAAAGTCAATTTGGACTTCTAGTCCATATCCAAGGAAAGCCAAACATGTTTTTGTGTTTAGACTCCATGCAAGGAACCAGGGACAAGACTAGGGTAGTTTGGTTGACTTACAGGAAAACACAAGGTATTTCACATTCAAATACTCTTAGGCTCCATTTCGACATGCTAATGTCATATCAAAGAAATAGACTGCTTATTTTAGGAAATAGAGGGAAGACATGTTTGTTTTTTCTTTGTCGCACAGGCGTTTTAGCCACTTTTTCCAGATAAATGCAGTTACAAAGAAACAGCTCCCCATGAATATTGGTAGACCAAGCTGGGATTATCACTTGTAAATGTGAGGAAGGAAAAGTTGGTACGAATGCGTATCAGCCTATTTGAATGTCAGCATTTACGAAAAAACATTAGGGGATACTTTTGTTTTTTGATGAAGTTAACATTAAGGGATACTTTACAATGAAAATTTAACTTAGGGCATTCACACCAAGGATAACAACTTGGAAGGCTTCTAATCTTAACAAAAGGCTTTTTGGTGTGACAAATTTTACCCATAATACAAGGCCAAACGTTTGAATCTTAAGTAACTCCAGCACAAATTCAAATAGCTGTGTTTTACATAATTTGCCAAAGGCAATTCACAATAACCTATATTGATGATTATTTGCTCAGTTAGGCAGACCAAAAGTGATCCATTAGGGTTAATGTTAGCACAATAAATGCGTAACAGCCTATTTGAATAAACACCTCAACCCTTACATGCACAATCCATTAGCATGCAAATGTTAAGAGCATAAACATTTCCATAGTTGGAAATTGGAATACTTCATGCAAGCTGGTATGTGTGCATGCCTTCTATCAGAAAATTATTTGAAAAAGTTAGATGGAACTTCTTTGTGTCAGATCAACTACCTGAAGAGACTCTTATATGCTCATTCTTCAATTTGTCCATGCCTTCCACCTAAAGCAAACATCTTAAATGGCTTTATGAACTTCATCTTTTACTTGAAAATTGCTATCTAACTAAATGTTTCATATGCTCTTTTTGAATTTGGAAAAGGCTTCGATGGAGTTGAGCTCCATGGGGCCCACGGCTACCTTCTTGATCAATTCATGAAATATAGTGTAAATGATAGGACCGAACACTATGGCGGAACATTAGAGAACCGTTGCCGCTTTCCATTAGAGGTAGTGGATGCAGTAACAAAAGAGATTGGACCCGATAAAGTTGGGAATAAGGCTATCACCTTTGGAGCTCATGCAGAAGCCGAAGACTGTGATCCTGAGGCCCTTGGCCTCTACATGGCTGAAGCTTTGAATAAATACAGCATTCTCTATGCCCACTATGTAGAGCCAAGAATCGTGAAATCTGAGGGTCAAGCTGAGACCAACCATAGCCTTCTACCAATGAGGACAGCTTTTAAGGGGAACTTTATTTCAACAGGGGGGCACACTAAAGAAACTGGGAACAAGGCCATTGTGGAGGGATCTGCTGATCTCATTGCTTATGGGCGCCAATTCATGGCTAATCCGGACCTACCTAAGAGATTCGAACTGAATGCTCCATTGAATAAATATAACAGAGGGACTTTCTATACCCCTGATCCGGTCATTAGCTACACTGACTACCCCTTTCTGTAATCACCTTCTCTAGTACATTTTGAGAAGGTCTTTTTTCCATATCACTACCAAGAAGATGAAAGAGGTCTTGAAACTTGACCAGAGAATTATTTTCTTTTCCATCTTTTCCTTGAACGGGATGTAGATTAAATTGGTTGCAATCTAGTAGTCACCTCTGACTAAGTTGGTCTTACCAAATCTTCGGGGGTTCAGTGGCAAATGATGCACAAAAGTTCTGTTTGTATGAAATCAACTCTGGATTTTGATGTCGTGTCAAAACAAAGTACTTGGTAGGTTGTTTGGTATGTGCTTCACAGTTCACATTTTATACTTGCACAATCAAATCAAGTATAAATTGTGAAACCACCTAATTGCAAAATTAGTCTCATAGCGATTAGGGGGTTTGATGCAGTGAATCAGGCAAAGTTGGATTTCGTGCTACTCTCTTAGCTTTTTTTTTTTTTTGGGTTGGGGGGGGGGGGGTGGTTTGAGGAGGGTTTGATGCAGTTAATCAAGCAAAGTGGCTCTTGGGGAGTTAGCTGCAGTGAATCAGGCAAAATGGCTTTTGCTCAAATTTAGGCTTTAAACGAACAAGAACCATGACAAAGATCAATTTCATAGCTCACTGACAAACTTTTGTGCATATATAGAGGGAAAACGGAAGCAGCAACAACGAAACAACAAAATAAACATACAAAAGTACAAACTACTTTTCCAGGAAATACATAGTAAATCTATGAAGAAGATCACCAGAACATATGTACTCTTGGTCCTAACACTTTCCCTTGATTTGGGAATGTCAAGTTAATCAGTAATATTGTTATCAGAAAAGGCAGTGACATTTTGTCTCTAATGAACATAAAAATTTAATGTCACCTCGTCCATGGTGAAGGAAGATAGAAGAAAACTTCAACATGTAAAATGAAAATCAGTTGCAATATTTGTCATGTTCTCGAAACAATCAGGAGCAATCTCATAGCACAAGTACTATTTAAGTGATTTATCCACTTGAACAAGCACAGGGAAAGATGCTTGTAAGTTGATAGTTGAACTTTCTTTAAGAATAAAATTACTAGGCTTCCATCTAGTTATGCAAGAAATACAATCAGCAAATAAGACATATATACAGGCAGGGTCAGATAATGGAAGATTCTCCCTTGTGAACAAGCCTTATTATTGGCATCTCTAAGTACCTGGTAAAGAGATTGTCATTAGGTCATTGATGTCAAAAATCTCATCTATAAGGTATGTGCTCCTCCAAGCGCATGCAGCTTCTCTCGATGTCAACCTGACAACATTGAGCCGCTCATTCTCCACAATAAAAAATCCCTTAGAAACTGAGAGAAAACAAGGTATGTCAAGTGAGCTACGGGTTTCACTTTAGTAAAGTCACAGATCGCCTCCAGGACATGGTAGACCCCATGAAAATCTACCACTGAAAAGCCCAACTACAACAAATGGGTTGCCTTCTCGATGGATCTTCCATTGAAGTTGAACTCTAGGGACTCCTCTATTAGCTTGGCTTGTTAAATTGAGCAAGACTCAGATCTTGAGATTTGAGAATGCCACCAGTCTCTATGCTCACATCAAGTCATCATCCCATTTCCCAACTGCATGGAAATCCTTGAGGACTAGAGCCCATGACTAGTTTACTTGTTTAGCAAACAGATAAATTGGACTTGACCACTTCAAGTCTTTGATATAATTGGAATGCTTTCATCACCCAGAAAAACTTAGAAAAGAGAACAAACAAAGCAACAATGAAAATATTTGCTAAGATTTGTAAATAAATTTGGCTATACACAATGAAAGTTTGCCACTTCCCAAGTGACTTTTTAGCATGAACAACATGGAGATTCGCAATTCAAATGTTCAAAGAATATCATATGTAGATTCATTCTTTTACCCTATTTTTCATTGAAACAGCAAATATCCGACTCCCTTAAGAAAATGAACCCCTCCCAACACTTCCTTTCTCACTTTTCAATGCTGATACCCTAATTTTTTCCAGGGTTTGAGTATTTATTTATCAAATAATTAATTCTATTTTGGAATGGTCCTTAACATCTCCAAGTAAGGTGGTATTTTCTTATTATCCCAATTTAAACAAGTGTCTTGTAACCCTTTTTATATGTAAATGAGCATTCTCCCATCAGCCTAAACATAGGTCAGAAATTAAGTTCTACAATTTAAACCGATTATTCAATGACCCTTTTTATATACAATGATCATTCTCCCATCAGCCTAAACATAAGTCAGAAATCTAAGTTCTACAATTTGAACCCATTATTCAAGTAACAAGATACTCCTTAGGATGGGAGGTGAGCTATACAGAACAAAGAAGGAAAGAAGAAAAAACAGATACACAGAACTATGTAAACATAAAACCAAAATAGGGAAGGGGTCCTGGTATTGGTTGGGGAGGGGTCTTGAAACAAGTAAGGGAAAAGGAGGAAGAAAGTTTATAGTTTGCTTCTGGAACCTCGAATGATGGCCAATCAAAATCCGCCCCCGTCAAAAGAGAGGTCCTAGCTGCCCCAAAGTCCATCCAAAAATTCCAAATAAAAATTATAAATCAAAGATTTACATTAGGGGTGGATTGCAAACCATTAAAAGGAATCCTAGAAAACAATGCTAAAGATTTGGCATCAACCCAGATCTTTGGCGATGGCAGACCAATTTTTCCATCTACGACTCCAAAATTGAGACTATTACTAGGCAAGTTGAATTCCCTTCAAGATTTCCTGACTTGAGAATATCTCACAAGATCAACCAAAGATGCAGAGACTGTACGAGGAAAAATAGCATTGCAATGATGGACAGGGATCGACTCAACACTCCCCCATGATGGGAAGCCAATGAGTTTGAAGACATACTTGCAACTGTTCCTAAATAAAATTGGTAGACGAACGTCTGGGACACTGCCAAACACCTTCTTGGTCTGGACAATTATATGGCCGAGTAGGGATACGTAACTTCTGAGCCACTCACTCCACTAATGCTCCACCTTCTCCCATTTCTTCCTTCATGTAATGATGAAGGGCTGTCCTCTCATGCCTATACAAGGGGGGGAGAGCTCTCATTCTTCTTCATTCAACAATTGAGTGTTAAGTGTGAGATGTATATGAGTGAGATATGTAAGAGAACTTGATTCTCGAGTACTTTAATAAATGTGTATAGTGAGTATGAGATATGTATCAAGAGTGTCTAGGAAATCAACCGTAACTACTAAGTCGGAGTTCTCTTGTATGCTTGTAAGTGTGTGTTGCTGCCTGTTTGCAGGATGGATTGAGTAAAGGGAAAAGGTGTTTCCACACCCTGGTATGTAAATCAATTTCTATGTGTTTAAAGTAAATTTTTCTTGTGCCTCTCCCTATTTTGGATTTAATATAGGGTATAGATGTGCCATTGAGCAAATTGGTTCCCTAACATTTCGTATTCTTCTTCCCCTAGTTCTTACCCTTAAAATTTCTGCCCTTTTTATGTTTCAACGTGTTAAAGAAATCCCCATTCTACTTCTCCTAAACACATACCTTCTACTTCCACAAGCCTTAGAATACCTCTCAAAGCTTTTTCGATTTCTCTTAAGTTGCTTGGAAACCGGTAAGTCTTGTAACTCATGAGAAGAGAGGATAGGGTTAGGGTCAAATGGCAGGTAAGACCAAAAATTGGAAAAAATATAATTTCAAGAAAAGGACTTTAGAAAATCTTGCAGGTCAAGACTCGCAAGACATTGGTTTAATCACTGATGTTATGTGCTTCGCCTTCTATTGGATCTTAGGACATTAGCAACTGAGACATGCAGTAAAAAAATTTGTAGTCTAAAATAGAAATATTTAGGGTTTATGGTTTACCCTAAACCCATAAGGTGAAGATCCAGTGAAAGGCAAATTCTTTACTGCTTGTCTTAGTTTAAGATTCAATAGCAGGCAAAGCACAGAGCATGATTAGTCTTGCAAATGAGTACAATATCAACTCCATTTATTATAGAGCTTGGAAATTTTACCCATTTCCTTGACCTGCAAGATTTTCTAAAGTCATTTACTTAAAATTATATTTCTGAAATTTCTTGTCATAGCTGCCATCCAACCTTAATCTCATTCTCTTTTTTTGGGACTTACTGGTTTCCAAGAAACTTGGAGAGAAACTTGAAAAACTTTGAGATGGTAAGGACTCTAGAAGTAGAAGGTATGAGAGAAAACTAGAATGAAGATTTCTTTAAGGAGTTGAAACATAAACAAAAAGTTTCTAGATTAGAAATTTAAGGGTAAGAACTAGGGAATGAAGAATAAGAAGAAGTATTAGGAAAACAACTTGCTCAATGGCACATCTGTAGCCTATATTAAATTTGAACTAAGGGGAGGCACAATAAACTTTTCCTTTTATTCAATCTATCCTTTAAACATGAAGCAGCTCACGCTTGCAATCACACATAAGAACTCCACTTTAGTACTTAAGGCTTGGGTTCCTAGATATTCTTAATACATATCTCATATTTACCACACGCTCTTTTATGTAAGCACCCGAGAATCAAGTGTTCTTATACATCTTACTCAAACATCTCACACTTATAAACATTTGTTGAACTAAGAAAAATGAGGGCTCTCTCCCCCTTATATAAGCATGACGGGAGAGCCTCTCATCACTACATGAAGGAAGAAATGGGAGAAGGTGGAGCATTAGTGGAGTCAAAAAGGAGAAAGTATAGGGACAATGGGGCATTAAGAAGGAAGTGGGTTTTTATGGATGGTTCCACGTATAAGTGGGCGAATAGTGAGCGCACTTCTTAAGTGGGACCTTAGTGATGCAACAAATGATGTCATTTTGCACTATGTGGACTCTACATGGGCCCTACAACAGGACCCATTTTTCAGTTGTGGACCCTGGGAGCTCATAATTATTTTTTTGGGGCAATGGGCCCTAGTGTGGCCCGTCGGAGGGTTTTTAGGGAGTATGGTATTCGCCTTGTCTATCCTCCTGTTCTTCATGTTCTTCCTTTTTGATAGCTGCTTCTGAGGTCCTGGGCAGATTCTGTTTTGGCATGGCTGAGTCTGGTGGTTCAAACCTTATCTCTATTGATTCCATGGAGCTACTTCCTACCTTGATTGGTTTCTTCAGTGGTAATTTCTCCATTCCATCTCTTCTTTCCACTGATTTATTATGCCTTCTCTGTCTTTCTTCTTCTAGGTCGTCACGAACAGTGTTAGGTTGACCTTTCTGGTGCTGGCTGTTGTGTTATTTGTGAAGGATTTAGCATTGGGAATGCTTCTCCATTGGC